TTCCTATGAAGGATTAAAATAATTAATGGTTTCACCAATTTTTATAGCTGCATAGTCAAATATTTCTGAATATAATTCAATTTTTCATGATTATGAGAGTTTAGTCTTTAAATTTATTGTGATAGAATCTTGGCTAATCCAACTACTAAGTTACCTATTATTTTATATAATACTTGATTTATTTTACTCAATGTAATGATATCTGTAAACACTTTCAAAAATTTATTCTGTTTGAATCGTATATCATGCTAGATCATAATTTCTAAGTTAAACCTATAAATTATTTATCACGTAATAGCAAAAATTGATCGTAGCTTCTGATGTTAAAAAATAAATTCTCATAGGAAATTTTCGACTGAATTCCAAGAAGTATTCAAGATTTCCACTTCCCCTGCATCATACTGAATAATTTGAAATACAATCTTACATATAGAATATACTATAATCATTTTCCCAAATTTAAAATAAATCTCTAGCTTAATAACCTTTTATATGAGGGGTAATTATTTAAACCTAATTTTTTTGTTATTTTATTATTTTAAACTATGATTAGAGTATATTTTATCTATATTGATCATATTCCTAAGTATACGACTTCACCTTAAAATTTTAATAGTATCCATAATTGCAAATTCAGCCATTTTTTAAAGAGAATTGCTATAGGATTCTATACCTTCTTAATTTCAAAATATTAATATAAGCATTAATTCTAGTGTATTTTATATCATATAATTTACAATTTTAAGAATATAAAATTAGATCAATTGGAACTATAATATAGTAATCTTTATCTATATTTTCTCTTCTCTTTTATTTAAAATAATATTGTCTAACTGAATTGTAATTAATAATGATTGGATTACCAATTATGGAAAATAATTGCTTTATTATTGAACTATTATTTTTTCTTAGTAAATATATAAACAATCGTAAAGTAATGATAGAAGATAATAAATTTTTGCATGAGCTTTTTGATATTACAAATACAGCTATTAATCAGAGAGAATGAATCAATTTTATGCATAAGCAATATTTGTTTTTTATGTTACTAAATAAAATAGCAAATTCAGTTATGTCACTTTAAATTACTTACTATACCACATTATATATATCTAAACTACTAAACACTTGAAGAATCTTTTAATTGTAATTTTTAATCATTAGAAATCCAAATCATAACAAAACCAACCATTATTTAGACTATTACTTGATCAATTTATAGGAATTAATGGAAATCAAAATTCTAAAACATTACTCTTTCAGTATTAAGTCTTATTCCTTTAATCATAGCTTTGGATTATCTACAATAAAAGTATACATTGCTATGTCATCTATTGACTATGTTATGTTTTAAAAACAAATTAACTCACTCAAAATATTTTATTAACTTTCTAGCCATGATTATTTAATAATCAAGCAAAAACTTCCAAATTATCTTCAACTTTTTAATGCTTTGACCATGTCATAAAAAATAATCCATTTAAAAATTTAGCTGCCAATGCATACTATAGCTAAATTATGTAAATTCTTAATTAAATAGCCTTTTTACAAATAGCCTTCATTTTTGATTTTAATGATCATCTTATAAAAAAAATATATTTTCTAGGAGGCCACATTTATATTTTCAATGAAGAGATGTTGAACAGCATACTTTCAGTCTTCCTTTAAATACTGTATTATTACCAAAGAGATATTATCATATAGGGCATTAAAACCAACTTCACTATTTGAAAATAGAGATGATTCAGTAAATTACAAAGAACTAATAGGACAATTATAATGCGTGATTTATCCATTTATCAACTAGGGAATATTTGGTTTAGTCATGATTAGTCCAAACATACTAAATTAAGCAGCCGATTTCATCATCTAATTCAGTTAGCTATGGAATTAAACTATATTATCTATTAATATAACCGAATTAATCTTAGATCTCTTTCTATTTAAATTAAGAATTCCAATATTGATTATCGTTTCTAACTTGTGCTATCAAAATTCTTGATGGTTATCACTATATTCAAACATATTTATTTAGGTCTAAAGTTAACTATTCATTATACTTAAGTTCTAATTATTCGAAATACAATCTATTCATTTTCTATGGTGAATTCAATTTATTATATTTCAGTAGTTCTAAAAAATTCTCTTATTAATTTGAGCCTAAAAATTCATAATTAATAATCAGAAATATGTCTAATTGGTTATTAATAAAAAATAAATCTTCATAAATTTAATGGTTGTTTATTCTTGATTTAATGGTGAGGAATTATTGAAATTTAATTTTGAACCTATTAGTTAATATAATTTATTATAAAAGTAAGATAAGTGAGTTAAACATTTTATAGTATGTAAACAATTATTTTTTGAAGAAACTTTAATTAAGTAGCTTTGAGAAAGCTTCTGATAATAAACTATATAATTTGAAATTTCGTTAATTTCTAAAAGCTGAATTAATTATTTTTATGTTTCAAAGCCTAACTGAATACTTCTTCATTTACTATATCTTCGGATGTAAATTCTTTGTCGCTTACGGATTAAACACAATATTTCTTTTTCAAAAAAAGATGGATAACATATAGTTCTGTCAACAAGAAGACATTAAAAATGAGATGGTGATAATCCTCTAAAGTAATGCAATTCTTATAAAATTGAACTTTAAAGTTCTTTAACAACAGTAAACTGTGAATTTTCAACTTTATTTTCCAGTTAGATTATTTAAAAGGCTGATGCTTGATATTGATGAATCCATTAAAGATACTATTGACTTTATGAAACATTATGACTATTCTTTATGTTTGTCCTTTAAAAATATTAAATCAATGTGACATAAAAGTATGATCTTTAGGTGTTTGTAATTGTTGAAATATTCAAAGCGCTATGTAGATAAACTTAACATAATAAAGATATCTCTATAGAATAAATTAATAAAATAGTAAATTTTACAATTACCATAATTTTATTAATAAATCAATAGAGAAGTAAGGTATTTTAACCTCATCCTTCAAAATTATATCCATTTATTCATTATTTTGGATGTAGTGTGAATTATAAATAGATTATTGAATTATTATTATTATTATTCTATTTAACATAAAAATAACTCAATCATTCAGTTAAAAGCTTTGCAATTATTTTTTCCAATCTATTACATTAGTTTTTTGGTTATTGTATTTACTAATTATTATTGAAGATGCCTCTTAGATTTATTAAAAACTCTGAAATATGGAAATTGGAATGGAAATTTATTATATGGCGGTATGAAAGATTACATTAGTGGGTCCTACAGATTTTAGGGTACAGGTAGAACAGCTAATTAAAATTATTGGGGAGAAATTTGTATATTGAATTTTAATTCATTTCTTCTATCTCGTTAAAGTAATTATTGATAAAAGTAGTTTAACCAAAGTTTCCGTTGTTCATCCTACTGATAACCTTATTTGTATGCTTTGCTATAAGAAGTTCTAGAGGGGGTAATATCAAATCTAAAAATTCGTTAGGTAAGCATTTAGGAAATCCACAAACCTTTTTAAAGCTAGATTTATATAATTTTTATAAGCGTTGAAATATGTTTTTGTATTTCTAGGTTGGGATTGAAGGACAAATATAGAGTATGTGTGGAAGGAGAAAAGTTTAGAATAATTAATATTTCTGCTTCCAATTAAGTTTTTAAGAAACCCATAGCAACTTTCCACTTAAAAATTTTAGAGTTTATTCTACTTTATCAAGCTATAGACTTATTTTTCCATTGTTCAATATATTTATTCCGAGGTATTTATAAGATTTCACAATAGGAAATCCTTATATATTGTTATATTAACAGCGCTTATGATTTTGGATGAAAAAGATTCCACATTTTTTCTAGTTTAATCTAAGTTCATATTCTTCAGAAATTAAAACCAACTTTTATAAAAAGGATTGGATATTTCTATGAGCAATAATAATTACAATGTCGTCCGCAAATTCATAGGAAGTATAATTAAAATTACAGTTTTGTTTTAATGAAGCTAAAAAATCTTCAAGATATATATTAAAAAGTGCGGGAGACAGTGGAGATCCTTGAGGAACACCGTTTTAGAAGTAAAATGTGGTATTCATTTATGGGCAAATATAATGGAGATTTGTATAGAGGTGATTAAGGAATTTTATTTCGATGCCATCCANTTCTTCAGAAATTAAAACCAACTTTTATAAAAAGGATTGGATATTTCTATGAGCAATAATAATTACAATGTCGTCCGCAAATTCATAGGAAGTATAATTAAAATTACAGTTTTGTTTTAATGAAGCTAAAAAATCTTCAAGATATATATTAAAAAGTGCGGGAGACAGTGGAGATCCTTGAGGAACACCGTTTTAGAAGTAAAATGTGGTATTCATTTATGGGCAAATATAATGGAGATTTGTATAGAGGTGATTAAGGAATTTTATTTCGATGCCATCCAAAATTGATTTAGCAGATAAAATATTAAATAGTCTTTATCTATTTATGCTATTGAAGGCATTGCTAAAATCAATAAAGATGCAATCCATTTTATCCTATTTCTTGTAACCAGTTAAAGTATTTAAGAGTCTGATGATATTTATTTGAGTAGATGAACCAGGAATGAATCCTGCTTGACCTTTAGATAAGCGAGTGGACAAATATTGTTATAGTCTTGGCAGAAATCTTAATTCAAGCAGCTTAAATAGGGGACTTAGAATTGTAATAGGTCGAAACTAAGTTTTAGTAGGGATATCGGGGAAAACCTTGTTTAAGGGTACTAGTCTTGCTCTACAGCATGCGTAGTTGGTTTCAATTGTAGATTATTTCCATATATCACAAAAAATATGGACATTTTTACAATTCCTAATAAAATTGTCAGATACACCATCAAAGCTAATTGCTTTATTTCGTGACATCCTTCTTTGTAGCTCGGTTATATCAAGCGTATTTAAGGGGGGTAAAGAAGGAAGTTTTAAAGGGCGAAATTTTTGACCATTTGATATGATACTAAGTTAGGTAAGACAATTTCTAATAGCAATATCTCCAAATTGTAGTTAATTAGAGTCATCAATGAAATATGAAAAAATGCTACCATCTTTTTTAAAAGGGTTTAATATAGTTATTTTTTTTAGAGTTTGGAAGAATGTTACTTTATCTCTAGAGAATAAGTCAGCCATATGTTAGAATATATCTTAATTATTATGGGTGGAATTAATATTTAATTTTGGTATAACTTGCTTTTTAATTTTCTGGATAACTTTGGAGTTTCTGAGGTTGTTTTGTATAAATTTATAGAAACATGTAAAATCAGAAAATTTGCTAGAAGCCAAGTTATTTAAGTTTTGAGCTCGCTTTTTATTGAATATATAAAAATAGAATTATTAGTTGACTTTTTGTTGAAGGTTAAGCTCAATTTCTATTAGGGAGTGGTCTGATAATTAATTAAAGGAGACATTATTCTTAGATTAGACATAGGGATGTAATAAAACATGATCAGTTCTACTTTCTATCATTTTGTTCAATTTTTTTCTCTAAAATGTAATTAAGTGCTGTGGAAGAGCTGGTGTTAGAAAATTAAAAGGGGTTTAGCTTATATTAAAGTCACCGCAAATAATAATTTACTGGTTAGGCTTAATATTTAGAATGAATTATCTCAACCAATTATCTAGCTAAGTCTTTGATTTCTAGAATGTAGACTTTTTGTTAAAGTAGAAATTAAACAGAAAAATATCAAAGTATTCGTTTCTAGCATTAATTATAAGATAGTCAAATTCCACTTATATTTGAATTTAAAGGATATCACTAATATCTTTAGAAGCAAAACTATTGTGAATACCCGTGATTATACCACCAGATCTCTCACTGGTTGAATGATGGTTTATATAAATCTAATAACTAGGTGATGATGAAATCTTAGAATTGCGGCTTTCTTATAGACAGAAAAAATGAGGGCCACATAATTTAACTTATTTTAGCGTGCTTTCTTTCATAGAGGAAATATTCCAAGTGACTAATTTGATTGGGTTTTTATTTTTATTGTTAAAATTGAGACACTAAATATGATTATTGCCAGGATCTTAAGACAGCGTCTAATTCTTAGTCCTGGTGGAGCCGTGTAGGGGCTACACTCATTCAATCATTTAGCCATCTAATGTGTGGGAACTTTCTTTAGGCACTTTATTCTTATGAAACTTTTTCATGTGTTATGCGTAATCTTAAGTGTTATTGAAGATATTCTTGCATTAATGGAGTTTTCCACCGCAAACAAATATCTAATCATCTTCCTCCTCCTCTTCTTCAGATAACTAATTAAATGGTTATTATTAAGATTATGTCATCTTACAAGGAGTTTTAAATTGAACCTATTTGATAGGATCCTGAATTTAAGGAACAGTAAGTTTTAAAGCAGAAATTTGTTTTTTAATGGAAGATTACAAATCTTTTATAATTTTTTGTTCAATTGATTATATGATGCGATCTTATTAAATGGGTTAATTAGAAAATATTGTTGGGGATTGAGCATTATTTACGGTTAGTAGGTGATTTGAATTTCGAAGTGAAGGTGTTGAAGGTTTATTTTTTTGATTTTTTTTTTTTTTCATAACATTAAATATTTGTGAGTTCTTTTGATAGATGAATAGAGGCTACTCATTCTTTTATATTGAACCATTTTAGGATAAAAGTATCCAGCATTTACAATTTCTATGCATAAGCTATCGTTGTTATCTTAAGCTTTCTAAATAATAGTGGATTTGCAATTCTGCAATCCAAATGATTCCTCCAAGATGTCTATTATATTGCTTTTCTATTTAGGTTGCAATGTGAGTTTTTAGTTCTGTTTTTGAGAAAGGTCATTATTGATTTACTCAATTTAAACGTTGAATTTCTATTCTAGCGCAGATAATTATGGTAATAGTTAATTCATACTATTGTTTAAAAAATTCAACATGGCAAAAACCCAGTGTGTTAAATTTACTAGGATATTTTGTAAAGTTGGATCTTAAAGATTTTTTGCTTATTAATGGATCTCGATCAGTGCACTAAGTGCTTATGAGGGGGAGAATTATTCCATACCACAAAAATTTTTTTTAATAAAAAATAATATATACATTAAACTGGTGTGAGCAGTGAATAATTAGATGAAAGTCTTTATGGAAGCATAAATATTAAATTTATAGAAATCAATTCTGACAAATATAAAATTTATTACGCATTGTTTCTAATAAAAGAAGGAGTTATATGATTTTGATATTTATCAATAATGGTTGATTACAAGTATTAGTGTATTTTAAAATTTCACTTCTAATGAATATATTAATAAAAATAATTCTAATGTCAATTTACATTTATTCAAATGTCGAGTAATTTTTATAAACCAAATATTTTGCCAAACAATCTCAATTGCCTGTTAATTAAATAATTTTTATGATGCATCATTGGATTACTATGTTGGGGCTTCCTAGAATATTATGAATGCTAAATTTTATTGAAGTTTTAGTAGATAGATAATGGTAATATCGTTATCAACCCTCTTTAGTGGTTCATTGGTAATATAATCACAAGGATCAAAATATTATATAAGTGTCACATTTTCATCAAGTGATTTCATCAAATCAAAAGATGAAAGTATTTGTCTCAACAGATAATTTGTAGTAGACCTTATAAATCTTTTGAATAGGAAATTAATTTTTCTTGTTACTCATTCATTCATGATTTATTAACATTGTCCAGTGCTTTTTTTATTCCAAAACCTAATAGAGTTATCAAAACTGCATGATATTATTAGATATTCATTATTATTGATCAATAAAGTTGTTATTTCAAGTGTTTTCCATTCAATTTCTATTTGCAAGTCCATGAATTATTTTCATTCATCTTTCATATCCCTATGGATTTGTCATACTTTCAGTTACAAAATGATTTGATTCTTCATGAAATCTAATGTATATACAGAATTTGAATGCTTGTTTAAAAATTATATTGAATTTAATTTATCCTACTTTAGTTCAAATAATTTAATTTAATTAGACAAAACGTGCAACAACTATTGAGTTATCATCATTAATGGCTATTGCATAATAAAAATAAAATCTGCACTTTAATTGATTAAATAATAGAATTTGAAAATTTTGATTTTTTAATGATTAGAGTTTAATAAAAAATAATAATTTGATATAACAAAATTAATAGAAAATGAAACAAATTCCCTGCTATAAAGATGAAGAGCAATTTTTATTTTATATCAAATTAGGATAAAACTCAACAGAATATATGTGTTTAGAGTGTGCTTAGGAGCTTAATGAAGGTCCCAAGGATGCGAGTCAATAAAATTTAATTCGTATCAATAAAGTATCATTACATAATTTTTTTACAAGGTTTTAAAGTCACCTGAACATTTGCTATCTAAATTGAATTTGAAGCCTACCCTCAAAGAATTTTTCTCCTATTTAGATAAATATAATGAAAAATCGATCACAAAAATATTTCTGGATTTTTAAATAAAAATAACAAAGCTTTAAAATACTTTAAAGGACCTTGAGAAAGAATTAGAAAAAATTTTGCATAATTTCTAGATAAGAATTAGAAAATTAGGGATAAACTGTTAAATATAGATAATAAAATCATTAATTTAGATTAATTTAAATAATTCATAGATAATCTTGAATAAATTGGAGATTCAATCAACAATTAAGCAATTGAATAAAATGAAACGGCTCTCCATTAATACTTTTCAGATCTTAATAAAAATAATTGCAAAGAATTGAATATAGTTTTAATTATTATATTAAATGAAATAAAACTAGAGAAGAATAACTTAAATGAAGAATAATGCATTTAATATTAAAAGTTGAATGTAAGATTCAAAACTATAGATGATTGCAGATTAGAACTTAGATATCTTGTTCCACTTCTATATTTCGAAGAGTAAATTTTGTCTGACTATAATAAGTTAAAGATAATTCATAAAATAGAATAAAAAAATAAATTACTTTTAGCCAATATTTTTAAGTAATAGAGATGGATTGAATGGATTTAACTTTAGGAGCAAAGTAAAAGGCAGATCAAATTTGTTAATGATATTTAAATCTAAAAGTGGAAATATTTTTGGCGAGTATACACCTTGTAAATGGAATTATAATTTGAATTCTTATGTTTAAGACGACACGTTGTCATCTTTTTTGTTTTCTTAAACTCACGATGAAATATATCCTTTAAAGTTATAAAGTAAGGCTCAAGCGATTTACTGCAACTCAACCTGTGGACCAACTTTTGGTGGTGGCCATGATTTATACATTGGATCAGATTTTTAAGGTGGATCTTCCAACTTTGGACATTCTTATTGGTGTGAAGATCAATATTTTGCTAAGAATACTCATTTATTTGGATAATCAACTCCTAACATAGAAGAATGTGAGATATTTGAAGTATTATTTGTATGAATATGTAAAATTAAAAAACTTCAGTAAATTTTGATAATATTTTATTATTTTTAACTTTAATTAAAAATTTGTAATAATGTTTTGTTACTTATTGTAATTGCAATTTTAATTTGATACAGATCTCCTTAAATATATTCCTATCTAAAACATTTTAATGAATTCTATAGAGTAGTTGTTTAAAACCAAACTAAGATTGAATGTGAGGATTGATTAATTGATAAAGAATGTAAATCAAATCAGCAAATTTAAATTTTTGTTTTGATTCTTTTGTTCTTCATGAACTATTGAGATAATGCTTCATACCTTTCATAAATGTTATTTTTAATATTAATAAAGAAATCTAAAAATATTTTTAATTATTTCAATTTAATATAAAGTGTAGATTTCATTTTTAGAGTTGTTAAATTTTAAAATATATTAAAACCTAAACATTTCAATAACTATCTGATAATTCTCAATAATGCTTTATTTTTTTAAACTAACCTTGATTTATTCATTTTAAAATGTAATTATATGAGTATTCTATTAATCTAATTGTTTTTGTTTAAATAAAGATTTAGTTATTTAACTGTGTCTGTTAGATCGATCTATATTTTCTTTTATTATTCATTAGATAGGTCTATAGTTATTTACATATTTGTTAAATTCATAATTATTTAAGGTGGATTTTGTTAAATAATGTTTGAATTATATTCATTTTAAGAAATGTTGAACCCTATTAAATAGTAATATTTTAATAGAGATTATAAAATGTTTACTTGGTTAATATATAATTTTTATATAATAAAATGAGTAAAGGGAAATATGTAGAGATAAAATGTTAAAATAGTGAGCATGACTATAACATTAAAATGATATGCTTAAATGAATTTTGTAAAGATATCAGATTGTTTTGTATGAAATGTGTTTAAAATAAATTTCATCATTCTCATTTAGAATCATGGATTGACATGCCTCAATTATATGAACAACTAAGTAATCAAGAGTAGGAATGTCTGAAACTCTTGGATAATATTTCAGAGTAATTTGAGTCAATCATTCACTCATTCGAAAAATTGAAAGAAGGGATTAAATTAAAATATATAGTAAACAAAGAAAGATTAGGAAGATTGAATGTGCAATAACTAAATGTAGCAGTTGGTGAAATGATATAATTCTAAGAATATAAATAATAAGCTCAGTATTCTATATCTAGCTGCCTCAAAACTTTGTAAAATGATTTAACTAAGTTTATTGTTAAGTTGAGAATAGAAGATTTGAATTATTGCACACAAAATGAAAACAATAACAAAGAGTCATTAAATGGAAATGGTAGGAGACATTCATTTAATTAGGTAAAAAACAAAGCATTTTAAATGAGAGAGAGATGTTAGAATCAACAATTAAGATGTTAAATCAAACTTCGGTTTTGAATGCTGAAAATTTATCTGCATTTTCAATGAAATGTTATTGATCATCATTAAATTTAGCATTAACTTTAAAATCACTTGGCCAATTTGCAGAAGCTATTACATGGGCAGATAAAGCTTTAAATATTGACCCAAATCACATTAAATCATTATATTGCAAAGGTGATTTTAATATAAACATTAGCTAAGTGCTTATATATGCTCGACAAATATGAAGAATCATAAGAATGGGTCGAAAAAGTTTTAAAATATGATCCAAATCATGTTAATGCGTTGCGATGCAAAGGTGGATATGTTTATGTCATTTTTAAGGAGAAAGCTTAGTTTAATAAGGACAATATTAATATGCCTTAACTTGGATTAACAAGGCCTTATAAATTGAATCCTAAGATAGTAATACTATCTACTCAAAAGGTAATTAATNATTATTCCCTCTTGATTATTAAAATGGATTGGTATTCATATAGCTAGAATAACCCACATATTAAAGAGGCAGATGTAAATATAATTTCATATTTCGAAGATTCCTAATTATTTTTCATCTGATCTATTATGCATACCATGCATAAATGCTGTTGAAAGAGGAATTTATTATCACATAGCTATCATTGATTATTTGTAAGAGTGGAATGCCTAAAAAATTATTGAAAAGCACACTAAAAAAGCTATTCATGTAAATATAGCTTTAGATACATCTGCTCAGAATCCAGATGATTATGCTAAAAGATTTATAGAAAAAGTTGCAAATGTAATTATATGAGTATTCTATAAATCTAATTGTTTATGTTTAAATAAAGATTTAGTTATTTAACTGTGTCTGTTAGATCGATCTATATTTTCTTTTATTATTCATTAGATAGGTCTATAGTTATTTACATATTTGTTAAATTCATAATTATTTAAGGTGGATTTTGTTAAATAATGTTTGAATTATATTCATTTTAAGAAATGTTGAACCCTATTAAATAGTAATATTTTAATAGAGATTATAAAATGTTTACTTGGTTAATATATAATTTTTATATAATAAATTTAGTAAAGGGAAATATGTAGAGATAAAATGTTAAAATAGTGAGAGTAGGAATGTCTGAAACTCTTGGATAATATTTCAGAGTAATTTGAGTCAATCATTCACTCATTCTAAAAATTGAAAGAAGGGATTAAATTAAAATATATATTAAACAAAGAAAGATTAGGAAGATTGAATGTGCAATAACTAAATGTAGCAGTTGGTGAAATGATATAATTCTAGGAATATAAATTATAAGCTTAGTATTCTATATCTAGCTGCCTCAAAACTTTGTAAAATGATTTAACTAAGTTTATTGTTAAGTTGAGAATAGAAGATTTGAATTATTGCATACAAAATGAAAACAATAACAAAGAGTCAATAAATGGAAATGGTAGGAGACATTAATTAATTAGGTAAAAAACAAAGCATTTTAAATGAGAGAGAAATGTTAGAATCAACAATGAAGATGTTAAATCAAACTTCAGTTTTTAATGCTGAAAATTTATCTGCATTTTCAATGAAATGTTATTGATCATCATTAAATTTAGCATTAATTTTAAAATCACTTGGCCAATTTGCAGAAGCTATTACATGGGCAGATAAAGCTTTAAATATTGATCCAAATCACATTAAATCATTATATTGCAAAGGTGATTGATTTTAATATAAACATTAGCTAGGTGCTTATATAAGCTCGACAAATATGAAGAATCATAAGAATGGGTCAAAAAAGTCTTAAAATATGATCCAAATCATGCGAATGCGTAGCGATGCAAAGGTGGATATGTTTATGTCATTTTTAAGGGGAAAGTTTAATTTAATAAGGACAATATTAATATGCCTTAACTTGGATTAACAAGGCCATATAATTTGAATCCTAAGAAAGCAATACTATCAACTCAAAAGGTAATTAATTTCGATATTCTACTATTAGCACATTGACTATATCTACTTGCTAAATACAATGAAGCAATTCTTGAAACTGAGAAAGTCTTAGATAAAGATCCTTGTCATTTGAACTCTTTGTGTTGCAAAAGTGCGATTCTAATTTAATTGCTTAGTTAGAAGTTTATTCATGCTTGATAAATATGAAGAAGCTATACTGTGGGCTGGCAAAGCATTGAATAAAGAACCAAATCATTTGACTATTCTAACATGCAAAAGTATTCCAACCTACTGTTATTCTTAGCATAAAGCTTATTTATTCTTGATCGCTTTAAAGAGGCCATTGTATAGGCAGATCAAGTTTTAGAAATAGACCCTAAAAATATCAACATTCTTGACTGCAAAGGTTGACATAATATTTAATTTAACAGCATAGTGCTTATTTTAGCTATCAAATTACAAAGAAGCTATTATTGTAGCAGATCTAATTTTGACTCTCAACTCAAAACATCTCAGCGCTTTACTCTATAAAAGTTGTTAATTTTCATTAATTATAAGCTACTTGTTTATGCGCATCGAATGAATATAGAAATTCAATATCATATGCAGATTAACGTCTTATTATAAATCCTAATGATGAGAGCACTATAATAACTAAAGGTCAATATACATTTACATTCCAGGAAATAGTTTAAAATAACTCAGAGAATTTAAAGAGGCCTTAGTTTGGCAAGATAAAGCCTTATCTATCAACCCAAAAAATTTGTCCATGTTAGTTTCCAAATGTATCAATCTATTTAATAAAAAAAGCATAATGTCTATTTCAACTAGATCGATTCCACGAAGCCATTGAATATGCCAATTAGGTACTAATCTTAGATCCCAATAATGTTGAATTATTATATTCAAAAGGTAATGTAAATTTAAATCTTTAGCTGAGTGTCTAAGACATCTTGAGTAATATGAGGAGTCAATCTAATAGGCTAATAGAGCATTAGCGTTAGATTATAATCATGTTAACTCTTTAAATTGCAAATGCTTATACTTTCATTATAATTTTTAGAAAATAGTCTACGGTTGCTTAATGAACAATAGAGTGCTTAGACTATTATGGATATGAGTCTAGTGATCTATCCAAGACAAGATGAATTTTGTGTTTCATTATTGAGAAAAGGTATAATGTATAATTGCACTTTATTAGCTAACAACTTAAATTTAAATCTTTACCTCTAATACAAACAGGGTAAGATTAAGATGCTATAGTTTTAGCGGATAAGGCTTTATCCATTGATTCTAAAAATATTTATTTTGGAATGCAAATGTATTTTTGATAATGATTCATCAATAGTGCAATGCATATTCAGGTTGAAGGAATATGAAAATGCAATCATGTTGTCCAATAAAATCTTAGAGATTGACTCTAAAATCTTACAGGCTTGTAGCGTTTAGGTTATACAAGAGGATAAAATATTGTCAATAAATGAAAATTCTGTTTTATCATTGTAGTGCAAAGGCATAAAATAGCAAAATTCTTAGCTTTATGCTTAAACATACTTGGTTAATAGAGAGAAGCTTTAGTTTTGGCCAATAAAGCTTTGACTATTGAACCTAATTCAGTAGAATCATTGACTTGTAAAGGTAAGTTTTATGTTTAAGTAAGGAAATATCTTATAACACATCGGACAATATTCTGAAGCATTGAAATTGTCAGATTAAGTATTAGATGGATATCCACAAAATTTGGAGTCTTTAAAGTGCAAATGTAAGAGAATGGTCTCCATAATTAGCTCATTGTCTATATATGTTGACTCGATATTAAGAGGCCATTAATTCAGCAAAAGTAATCTTAGATCATGAGCCCAAGAATATTAATATTCTATAAATATTTGGTATTAATAAATTATACCCATAATAGTGTAAAGTTTATTCAAACTTGGTATTTTTGGAGAGGCAATTATTTTTGCTGACAAGATACTAGAACTCTTCCCTAATCATTTAGATATATTGCTTTGTAAAGGTTAGAAAATTTGAATAATTTAAGCTCATAGTTTAAGATTACTTGGGAAATTTAATGAGGCCTTAGACATTGTAGACAAGGTACTTTGCATAGATTTAAATAATCTTAGTGGAATGTAGTGTAAAGGTTGTAATGCATTTATAATTTAGCTTAAACTTTATATATGTTGGATAAGAATGCTGATTCCATTATTTGGACAGAGAAGGTCTTGGCTATTGATCCCAATCATATCAGCACATTACACTGTAAAGGTATTACTTCATCTTAAGTAATAGCTGACAATTTAAGATTGCTTGGTAATTACAATGAAGCAATCAAATTGGCAGATAAAGTGTTGGCTATCGATCCTAAATTTGTTAATGCCTTATATTGTAAAGGTTTCTTTATTTCATTGATAATTAGCTGATAGTTTAAGATCACTCTCTTAGTATAATGAAGCCTTAATTTGGGCTGATAAAGTATTGGCTATAGATCCAAGACATGTTAATACTTTAGGAACCAAAGGTAAGCCTCAATACTAATTAGGCGATATTTTAAGAATTTATAAGAAATACGACTTTGCTCTAAAGTTGTTTGATATAGCATTGAGCATAAATCCAACTAGTTATTTTTCACTTTCTGAAAAAGGTTTTTCATTCAATAACACTTAGGCTTATGTCTACAAGAATTAAAACGCTATTAGGAGGCCATCATTTGTTACTAGAAGGCTTTAAAGATACAGCCAAATAATGGGTGGACTTTATGTAGAAAAAGTATAGATATCAAACATTATTAGAATAATGTGAAGAGGCATTAATAAGGTAGAGATCAGGAGTGAAATAAATTTGAAATATAATATATTATATAGAGAATTATTATTCAGCTTGTTCATTTTAAAAGTTGCATCTTACATTATCTGATGATTTGGTACATTGAAATCAGAATTAATCAGAAATACTAGGATTCATTCAACAAAAAAC